CTTCCAAGCCACGGCGCTTGACGCTCCGTTTTCGTCTCAGACTCGAGTCACACATGCAGCTGGGGGGTCTCATGAAGACGGAGTCAAGACGCGTGAGTTAGTTTAAAGTGGCGGAAGACTTGGGTCACATCTATCGCACACATCTACGGTACAATAAACCTGTCCTAGCGAGCACTTTCTCTTTCTCAAGTTATCACCCTGATTTGAAGCTTCTTTTGCTTGTACAATCTTACCAGGAAACGTTATGGGCGTTAAAAGTCTGCATCTCCCGACATTTATCAATCATCCATCACACATCCCCAAGTTGACTGGCCGGCAGTAGTCGCCGACGATGTCCACCGTATGCTACACAGCAAGGTGAAGCGGACGCGGTGACTTGTACATGATTAAGTTTTCAGTGATTGTAGACTTACGCAGCACCTACCGCACTCTCCCCCCCTTCCCCACCTGGGCTCCAGGGTCAGGATAGAGTCAAGAGGACCGGGGAAGGAAGAGGGCCCAGGTGACTGGCAGGGCGAAAACCCGCACCTAGGCGTGCCACCACACACCCCTCCTGGTTCACAATATACGCAAACCAGAATTTTACACAGTGCGAACGGTGGGGCGGTGGCACGGATTTCAACGAGCGCGGCGTGGGCCTGCACATAGGCGTGCGGCTACACCTCAATGTTAGCATCTGTTACTGGTGCGCATTCTCCATGAAGCCTGCCGGAGTCCGACCTAGTCCTGTGTTCGTCCTGTGCATTTGCTGCACGGCCCTGTTTGCGGCCGGAGATAGGGATATAGACCGTCCCCTGCACTACAGGTGGCCTTATGCTAGGTTCTAGGAGAGAGCGCACCTATTGCCGTGCCCTTTAACCTTACAGCCTTAGCTCTCCCAACCCTAGCCCCTGAAATTTTGCCCAAGACGACCTGTAGCACGGGGCACGGTGTATAATCCCCTGCCCAGCCGACAACCTTCGCAATGACGTGCACAGATATTCAGCCGAGTGTACTCACGGGATTTCTCAGCGTAGTGAAGGCTGCCCCCGGCATCACAGTGGCTCCGGCTGTAGGTACTTCTTATACATTTTGAAGACTTATCAGAAGCGACGCCTCGACACCGACTAGGCGATCGACAGCGTACTTAGAACATATGAATCTCTTCGTATAATTCGACTGGGAAAGAGCATAGAATAAGGCTGTATTCGGAGAATTCCCGCGCGAGGTACTTATTCTCGTGTCCCACCCTTAACTCCAACCCCTTCCCTCTGTAATTTATCGCAGTGCAGTTGCATAGTCTCCTGTTCAATCTATAGATATAAAAATGGAAGGTTTTTTTGCTGTGTTATATGTAATCTCCGAAAGTACTGCCCCGATTGCGCTGAAATTTGGATACAACCTGACCCGCGCATAGGGCCGGGTTTTTGTCTGTTCAATTTTGTAATTATGCCGATGGTATGCCTGTGATGGGTAAAAAACTGGATTTTTTCCGCCATAACAACGCCATCTGCTGCGGCCACTTGACCTACATCCGCGCGGACACATGTGCGCCCAGACTGTGGCCACATGACCGACATTCGCTCAAACGCACGTGCTCCGCCCGACGGCCGCGCCCACCCCACCACCCACCCTGCAGGCACTTGAGCAGGGGACAGATGCTCATTCTGGGTGTTGTTCAGGTTCGTCCTACACTAGAGACTCTTATTTCAGGCAAATTTCCCAACGAAATTTATTTTGCAGCCGAATTTTCAATTTTGCTACATGGAACCTCAAGTTTGATTGTTTGTGTAAACTGGAGGTAATCCTTTGGTGCTTGGCAAATCCGTCGGAGATTATCGAATGAACGTAGGTTTATGTGCCTTAGACGGGACTGAATAGGGTAAGGTATTGTTACTTAGCCCCACCTGATAGACACAATACTGTTGGGGTTGGGGTTTGCGGTTATGGTTCATGGCAACTATTTCTCAACCACTCAAAGTACAATTACACATTCCATATAGTTTTTCTTTTGCATACAACTACTTGACCTCGTCACCTGTGCGTTCCCTGGCTCCACCTGTAAAAACCCCCATTACCATCGGTCCCGCATTACAGGTGGTTGTGCTTTGTTTACTTCAGGTGGGGCTACATAAGCACATCTGATTCGGAATAGATCGAACTGCAATGTTTTCGCAAAGACACTTGATAACTAATCATGTATTCTCCACGCTCGCATGTTCACTAGCAGCACAATGGCGAAAGTTTGCAACACCGGATGTTGATTTTGGCAGTTTTAGTGTATGTCCGGTTTCACTCAGTCCAAAATGAATGAATGGGAAATGCGTTCTAGGATTTTAATAGATTAATGGAGAATACAGTCGCACTGCTGATATTTAAAGGTTTCTGGCGCAGACTTCCCTTTTCCCATGTTTCTTTTTTAAACATGTTTTCGTTCGATTTTGAGGAATAAGCTCCTGAAAACCATGCGGTTGATATTACCCCCCCCCCGTATTGGGTTCTCCGTGGCTAATCGGGAATGTTGAATTTTGAGGAAGGAGACACGATTGCTGGGACAAGAGCTTCATTAGCCTGACGTTTCGGATTCCTGCTCGAATGCATCATCAGAGACAAACGCAGATACGGGTGGTTCATGCACAAGGGACTGCAGTATCTAAAGGATGCAGTCGCCATAGCTGTGCGGTAGCATGGCGACACATTTCTTCTACACTATAAAAAGAAAACCGTATGAGGCTCATACAATTCAGCAATGGATTTGAGCCATATCGTAAACTTTGCCAGCAACATTGGTAAATGCAGAGACGCGATTTTTATGAACGGGCATTACATGATCTTAAACAATTTCATAATTAGAAACATTTTAAACCGAATTATATCCTACCTTTAAGCATAAGAACTGAAGAAGTCGTAATTTCCTATCAAAAGAGTCAAAAGGACGAATATCTTTATGCAAGTTTTCTGTAAGATATATCTGAATGTTCAAGGGCATCGAAAATCCATGAGGAGGATTCAAGTTTCCTTAGTTGCCATTTTTACATAGTGTAGTTTTTGCAGCGGCCGGAAAGTAGTTAACTCAAACGCTGGCATCCCGAAGTAATTGAATCATTATAGGACTATGCTGCATGGTGGTTTCAAGCTTATTTTCTCCCGGTTAGCATGCACTTTACTTCAGCGAAAGCTCATGTTCTCCCACAAGGGCACGAAAATTGCCCATTTTGTTCTGTTCATAAAAGTTCCCTAAATCCGCTTTCTTTAGGAGAAGACTGTTGGGTTGCCTTTTCCTTTGTCTTTAAGTACTTCCAAAACGTTTAAAAGTGTCAAACTGAAATCCCGATTCTTGATTTCATACTTGAGCCCGCAGGGTGGACTAGGTTCCAATAAACTGGGGACGCATGTTAGCCCTGCTACAGATTCCCAGTCACGGCTATCTTATCAGATTTTTTATGCACTCTTACACACCCACGTATTAAGCTCATGGAAAGTATTGCAAGTAGCTTTTGTTAATCGTCGGCCTCTCGTGGCTTAGCAGTTTTTCCCGCTAACTCAGTTGTTCCGCCTACGAAGTGTCTCTGGCGTTTGCGCAAATCCTGTCTGGTGCTCCTTACTGCATTGTTGATAGTGTGTTCGTCTTCTTCTCCCGCTGCACACTACGCGGAGCCAATCCTAGCGACAAGAGTCGGTCAACATTTTAGCACTTTACGTATGCCAACTTTATTGGTTGATTCTAAAGTCGCAGTTGCGAAACTGACCAATCGGTTATTTACACGCCTGTCCACCTGTCATTTGAACTGTAAACAACTGAACGGTGTGGACTCCTGCGACGCTTTTGTTATTAGCCGGGCCTAGCTTTAGTATCTAATCTATAATGAAAGAGAAGTCCGTAACTGGCTTGTTCCCACAACTACTGAGAGAGTATGAAAATTGTTGGAATGTTTTAGAAAATTCATTAGTAGTCATTGGAGCAGTGTACTTAAGGCATTTTCTTCCAAAGCGGGGTAAGGTTGGAAATCATTTTTTTCGAAATGCTAGCAAGTTAGACACTATATCCATCCTCCTAATCAAAGGAATCATTGGTCAAAAAGACACTGAGAAGCCAACCAACATTACTGCTTCATCACTGCCTTCGTCATATTGCACTCTCATTATTGCCCTGATTTGTTAGAAAACGCAATATCTGTATGCCCAGAGGCATTTGAGGGTCGACCTCACTCTCACTCTTACCTTTCCCACGCCCCAGTGGACTGTCCCGCCGTCTGGATGCGTCACACGCATATGAAGCACTGGTTAGGGATTTAGGTTGACTTGTCACGTCTCAACCGGCCCACACGACGAACCGACGCTGACAACATTTTGCCTCAGCTTGACAAGCGGCCTTCAAGGAGACCACTATAAGGAATTTTATTTTTATAATTTACAATTTCCGGCATTTCCTCTCATCGGTATGTGTCGCGATATGTGTAGAAACACCGTTATTCCAAAATCGTCCATCCCCACAATCACTCCCAGCTCATCAACCTTACGAACGCCACTATTGAACGAAATTCTACAGTTGGCACATCATAAGTGCATCCAGGATCCTTTATATCTGCAAACACAATCCGATCTGTTGTTAGTACTTTCACCTGTAAATAAGCGATCAAGTCACCTGTTCTGCAAGAGGAAATAGAAGACTGTACGCCTGTCGTTTTCAACTTTCGCCAATTCCTCCTTTGGGATCTACAGTCCGGCTTGAATATGCCTACATAGAGGCTATAAAGTCCTTGTATTTCCATTGAACTAAGTTGGCCCCCGCTGAGCGGGGCTAATAAACCTTTGCGGCTGATAGCGAGAAGTTCGCCTATTGGCTAGACTGACGCTACCCAAAGTTCATCCTCATTGGACAGTCCGCTACCAGGCTTTGCTGTCACCTTTTTGGAAAAACTTCGAATTGCGTCCGGAAAAGCCGTGGCAAAAGGGGTTACAGAGAAAGAAGATTTCTAGTGCATGCCTTTAATTTGCAAGATTTATATAGTCACGGCAAATTAACCAGACTTGAAGAGGAGGATTGCCACCTGACCCAGATAGAAGTAGATGAAGTGCTTGGTTTCGTGAGTAACATAGCTAAAATAGAAGAAATTTTGTAGATGCGTAAGAATGTGAGCAGTCTAAATTCGCAAAGAAGGTCACTTGGTCAGAAAGCATTTCGTTTCGCGCTCAGTAGCTAGAACCACCTTATGTCCGGATGCACTGGTCTTCCTCTGCTTACTTTACAAAATTTCTAGCGGTAAAGGTAGAGTATTTAACCCCCCTGGGTGATTGGTCAAAAGTTTGCAATCTTATCCTTCTTAGTTAGGTGTACTTCATAAAGGTTTACCCGGCAGTAGGTCGCGAAAGGTTTATACGGGAAGAGGATTTTGACCACCAATGGCGTTATTGACACTAAATTTGGACTCAAGGTCAGGGTTTTGACAACGGTTAGAATTGGCGTTAGTTGGGTTATTTTTGGGACTTGAATTGCCAAGCTTAGGCTATGGTTTGGATTTAGGGTTGTGGATTGGGCTAGGGTTTCAGGGCTTGGTGTAGGGTTAAGGTTGCATCCGAGTCTTCCATAAATGCCTACGGGTTGGAAATTTCCCATTTGGGGGTATGGTTGACGTTAGGTTTGTAACTCACTACGGACTTTTCGAGAGGGCGGTTAGATACCACAACGTTGCCTTTCTTAGCAAATATTAACCGTGGGTGTGCACTACGAGAGGGCGAAGAACTGCAGGTTAAAAGTCTAGCCCCTGTTAACCCCAATAAAAGCGGTAAGACCCACCTGCCGAAGTTCCGGCCCACAATGCAGTGCCAAGTGGGATTGTATTTCTTGTCAAACTCCTTCTTTATGTAGGAGGCGATATCTTTCTCAATGTTGTACTTTTCCAGAGCCGCTGAAGCCAGATCTACCGCATCCTGCTGCATCTCCTCCGTCATGTCGGCATTCTTCACGACAGCCTTGCGGTCACTCATCGCTGTGGTTTGCGCGCGCGAAATCAAGGCCTCCCCTGGCTGTATGACCTATTTATCTGGCCTGAGGCCACACTCATCTCCAATGGCAACGTGTACGCGCCCGCGGGAATTATTCACGCCGCACTCGAGGCCGCGCCGTCAGAGGGTGAGTGAGCCAAGCTACTGTGACTGACACTCAGACTGCAACCAGTTGCCTGTGCCGTGGGCGCGAGGACGCGCGTGAGTCAGTTGTGACCCGTCTCTCCCCCCCCCTCCCCCCCCCCACCCTCCGTCCAGCCCAGCCGCTCGAGCATCAGTGTACTTTGTGTGCGGTTGTGTGCGGTGCGGTCCCTGAGACGCGCGAACAACAGAGCTTGTTGCTAAGTTCGAATCGAGCCCCAGCATCGGGGACTGGAATACGCCTCCGGAAAAGTTCATTGTTGAGTGCACTCATCAGGAGGTAGGGGGGGGGGGGGGGAGAGAAGGGATGGAGGCCTTAAAGTTCTCAGGGTTGTCGAACCTGCAAGAAGGCGGGGGGGGGAGGTCAGATGTGGTTATGTAGCCTCACCTGAGCCAAACAAACCCTAGCCGCCTGTAGTATGAGACCGGTGGTAATAGGAAATTTTACAGGTGGGACTGAAGAATGCGAAGGCGACGAGGTCAAATGGTTGTACGCAAAAGAAAAGCTACTCGGAATGCGCGGTTGTGCTTTGCGTGGTTGACAAATAGTTGCACTAACCCCTAACCCAAACCCCCTATTCTAACGCCTAACCCTTACCTTTAACCCTAAGCCCTAACCCTTAGCCGCAGCCGCAAATCCTAACTCTGAAACATCCGACGTGAAAGTTACAAGGAGACGACAGGCCGAAAGTCAAGAAGGACCACTGGCATCGGGCCGAAAAGTGTAGACAGGACAACAAAGAAACAAGGCGGCCAACAGAACACACACTTCAACACACAGCAGCACCATGCCAACGTAATCACACCAACTCAAAATAACTAATTAGGCCAGCAGTATTGTGTCCATCAGGTGCGGCTATATAACCACATCTTATCAAGATGGCTACTGATATTCGGCGTCAAAGTATTCACCGAAGAGAGCCGTGTTTCTATCGGAAACCCGTCGTTGGCGGAAAATTGTGATGACACACAGCGTTTCATGTGTGTGGCTTCCATGCGGCAACATGATGGCTCTGTAAAACTACCTATTTATGGCGATGTAGTTACCAAATGCAACTGCGGTGATGAAAAAGAAGAAGAAGAAAATGATGATGATGATGATGATGATGATGGTGGTGGTGGTGGTGGTGGTGGCGGCGGCGGCGGTGGTGGTGGTGGTGGTGGTGGTGAGACACGGTAGGCTGTTGTGCGTCCCGGTACCAATGCTACGACGTCCAGGGTAAAATAGGGGTGAGTATAGACCCTTGCGATTCTTCGGTGTGGAGCCTCGTTACCTGACATGCCGCTCCGTCACAACAGATGGGATATTTATACAATCAGGAATGGACGTACACCGAGCCGTTGGATTTCTGGAGAGTGCAAGCCTCGTCTGGGTGCCATTGGTCCCCAACAGGCAACCACCTACCAGACCGAGCTTGGTCATCGTATGATATCACAGTTCATTACGGTTTGACAAAGGGAAACGCGAGATAGAGTTTGAAACAAAACCCCGCCCCCAGCGTCGGCCTATATAGTAACTGCCGCACCATGATTATGAATAAATTTTTACTCAAATTTGGACTTAGATTAGCAATAAGTGTTATATTTTTTGCCTTATATTTTGACGAACTAACCTAAAGAATCAAAGTAACATTAAGATGAAGAAGATTAGAATTGGAGATTATAATGTAATACGAAAAAAGTGTTAATTTAAGGTTTTTGTCATATGAAGGCTTCAGGCTCAAATCTCGTCAAGATCGCCGAGATTTTCACAATCGGGTCAGTTAAGTTATTCAAATCTGCCTAAAAGTCCCTGCTAAAAAGTGAATTGATAGTCATTAAGTGGCTTCTGATTGGGTCACTTAGAGAGACCGGCTTAGGCAGTTAGCTTGTTTTACTGGTGGATCCCATACGTTACAACACATTCGAGAGACGCAGCTTAACCGAAATGTAAAAGAGTATAGACTCTAGGTTGAGGCAGTAACCCTACTGTCGCTCAGTACGATTCCACCGAGATCGATGAGTTCTTGATAATTGGAATGTCATTTGAATGTGAATTAAAATCTCGAAAGAGCTCTAATCTCCTCCCACAGTGATCGTTCGAAGCCTCCTCCTTTTTAACCAAGGCTTTCCAATATCCTCGCTATAAGGAACGACTCCTTAATTCGGGTTGAAAGATCGATAAGTACGGGACTTTCCGTCAACAAGTACCCAGTCAGCTTAAGTGTTCTCACTTCATGGCGCACAACCTAAGCATACGTTACATACATATGTTTTCCGTTGGCCTGTGTAAATTTGATTTTTCTCTTTAGAAGTTTCACAAGAATTTTAACTTTTATGTTCAGTTTGGGAGAAAAATAAACCTTCTAACAACAGGACAGGTCTATGAGGAAGCATCAAAACGCCCACTTGAATGCTCCTGTAATCTGCCATGTGAGTATAACTTTCTTTAACACTTACAGCAGACGGAACTTTTGCTGTTCAATAGATGCCTGAGATGAAGAAAGGAGGGGTTTTATTTCCTGTCCTGAGAGGCTATTTGAGCATGCATTCCGTCTATCTGATGACCAACTGTCTTTGCATTCATGCAATTACATATAAATCCGTGAACACAATCTAACGTAAGACGCATCGACCATGCACCCTTTGCGTAACTGAGAATGAGTTACTGACCGACGTTAAATAAACTTTACTGTTTTAAAGAAATCAGGAATTTGACTGAAATCCTTCTACCAACCTATGACAGTAACGTCTGCGACTGGTAATGCTACAGAAGGGGACGCCTACAAAGATCGCGGAGACCAGGATGGCCATTTCTAGTCTACTGGCAGGATGCGCTCTCATGCGGGGTTCAAAAGCACTCCTACAGGCAATTTATGATCAACTCCTAATTGTAGGCGATACTGTTTATGAGAACGACTTGCCTTTCAAGTGTGGCATACTGACCGGCCCATTCGTGTTTGGCAAGATGACGGAAGTTTTGAGAGACGGAAAAGATGACGCAGCCAGAAGGATTTTCCTCCCATGACACTTTCAAGGAACCTGCAAAAGCTTGCTTTCACATAACTTTAAAGTTCACTTTTTCTTTAATCCCGCGCTGTTGAACCGAACAAGCGGTCTATATGGAAAGACCTCACCCTGATTCTGTTAAGTATACCTACTGAAGTCATTTCAGTAGCCATATTTTACCGGTTGAATTCTCCCCTCATAGGAAGGTATTGTGGAGGAAACCGTGACCGCGGCGGTTTGAGTGCTTCCAAGAAGACAAAGCAGAGAATTAAATCATCCAGGACTTCTCTCTCACCTTGTACTGGCTCTACTGTCTCTCTATGGCCACCAAACTGAGATTTTTAGTTTAATTTATGTTACATACAGTGCTTCCACTCTTCAGAGCCGCCTGTAGCTTATGCCACCTGCCTTATGACTATGGACAAGAATTCATATTCTTTCTTCACCATCACAATAAACAATTTGGTATGGTAAGAGTCGTCGACGAAAGAGTCATCTGCTTTATTTCGTCATCTATCTTCGTTTTTGTGCGCATGCAGATAAGACTGGTGTCCTCAAATTTATGCTTCCCCGTGCGGGAAGGGAATGACGCGTCCACGTATCTCGTAAAAATTAAATTCTGCATTATGTTTTGACGCTGCCATATCGGCAAGGGAGGCTGAAGCACTTCACGTCAAACACCTAAATATGGACCTCCATCGTACTACGGGTAGCTAACTTCCTGAGAGTACATATTCCTGTGTCCTCACCTTAACCCTAACTCTTGACATAACCCTAAAACCAACTCTTCCCCTCCCGGAATTTAACTCAAGCCCAGCTATGTGATACTGGGGGTTCCCTATTCCCCGTTTCAATCATCGCTGGGTAGAACACCCCCTTCTGGAGTGCTATTAGTCGACTGCGAGTTTGACAGGCAAAGGCTCTGAGCGCGTAGTGGACTATTTTTAAAATGAGAAATGTGGGAACATGAACTGATCTCTCTTCATTTGAGCCCTCCTGAAGCCGTGAAACCTTATAATAGTGAGTCTCCGGAACTGCTAGCGGCTGGCTGAAAGCTTCCACACAATAAACAAGTGCCAGTTAAAGAGACATTTTCAGGTATATCCTTAGAGCGCACATGGTCAACTCAACACAGTTTATAATCTTAACAAATGGGTTAGGGCGCAGGAATAAGTCACCCTCCCCCTATTACAGGCGGTCTTGCGCTGCGTTCCCTGGTGGTAAGACCAGTGTTAGGGCTCGGATTAGGAGGGATAGGAAGGATATTGTCAGGGTTGAAGTTAGTTGCAAGAGGGTTAGGGTTACGGTTGGGGACAAAGTGATAGAGAGCGCTCACCGATCGTTTTTACGGAACTGACTTGCCTTGTTGTGCCACAGGGGCTATCCCCCGAGCACAACCAGCAGCCGCACAGCGGCGCACGCTAAAGGCAGACACAAAAGGACGAGTGAGTTCCGAAAAAACGATCGGTGAGTGCCCCTTTACCATTGTGTATTCCGATCGCAACCGATAGGACAACGAAGCCGTGACTCAGTGGTTGGAGGCGTTGGACTTCTAACTTACAGGTAGCGAGTTCGAGTCCCAGGTGCTCCACAATTCGGGGTTGGGTATGACTGACTAACGATGGCTAATAAGCCAGAAACGGCCATTCCAGTCTCTCTTGCCTTTGCCGGCAGTAACGTATGGGATAAAGTTATAAAACAGAAATAAGCAGTCCTCGAAGGGTTGCTTATTCCCGTGTTCATCGACGCATGCGGTAATTTGAGGAGCCGGAGTTCCTCACCGGAACAGGTTTGTCCTGATGCTGCTGACGTTTCTAAGTACTTGGTCAGCCCTAAATTTCAAAATCTTTTAAGACGGAAAACCGGTCAGAATTTTAAATGACTAGCCGAGATGGTCGGCCTTGAACTGATCGTTTTAATCGATGTCTCAGCCTTTTGACAGATTTTTTGGGACTTAACTGCCGCTAGCATTGCGCTTTATCATCTCTGCCTCACTCTCGGATGAATTACTCATGGGGCCGTGTCTTCCGGGATTTCTTAAGTTCAGTGTGATCATCTTTTTCTGGCCTTTTCGTTTGTAATGATTCAGGACTTTATAGATCACAGGAAGGTCTAAGTACCTGTTGATAGTGTTGGCAGCTGAATACCATCCTCAGGTGCGTGCCGTTCTGTTTTGAGGCGTCTCGGCCTAATATGCCCGCTCCTCAAATTTCGAAATTCTGACCAGTTTCTCCAATATCAGTCTCAAACTGCTAGTTTGGATCCAGCCTCCGAGTTGTCAGTTTGTGTCTGCAGTTTTTGTCCCGTTTTCCCCGAAGTAGTTGCAGTCCCTGTCATTGCAACATACTTGGTAAACGACTGCCGAGGTTTCCGTGGGGTCAGTCTCTCCTGTTCTCACTGTCTGTGTGGATGGGTTGGGGGTGTCACGCTCAGGCCAGTTCTATCGCCCTGACACACCCTCCCCTCCCACTGAGCAGGGGACGAGGCCCGTGTGGCGGCTTTGGCTGGCCCGAATGTGGTCGGCTGTCACGATCGCCCGCCGTTTGGCACACGGACAACCCGCGGATCTGTCTCAGAATTAGAAGCCATCTCTGTCAGGAGAGCAGAATTCTAGCGGATAGCCCAGGTCAGTAAGTGTCACCCGCAGGACGAAGTGGTTTTTGCTTCTTTGCTGTCTACAACGACGTTATGTTCATCGAAGCATCAACTGTGAAGTGTGCTACTTATATAGGTCAGAATGTCAGTTCCGAGGTGGGCGCTACGACCTGAAGGCATGACCCCGTAAATGGTCTCAGATCGACAAAATTGAGAAAACCGGGCGCATCGGAAGAGGTTTATTCTAATGCTGACTTCTCGGATAGCTGGGTCGACTCGCCCTCATCAAAGCGTAAAATGCACTTAATCGAATAGGAACAGAAGTGGCATGTCACGCTGGCCGGTCTCGTGCTGATCGATTTTTCTCTCCTCTTGCCACCACGGTCTTTCAGGGGACTTTTTCCGTGATCTTTGGCTGCGTGCGTTGCGAGGCAAGTGGTTGAAACATCGTCGGGGTTGGTCGGTCTGGTGGCTCTTTTTCTTCGTCAAGTGACCTCGCCATCGGGCTGGGTCAGTGCTGCCTTCTCAAGTTCTGTGTGGTCGTCTTCTCCTGAGTTTTATGAGCATAATGACGCAGGACTTCGTGGGCTTCAGGAAGGTCCAAGTGACTTTTGATGTTTCCCGTTCTGCCTTTGAGGTGCCTCGGACTGAGATGGCAGTTTCCTGAAAATTGAAAGTTTGGTCAGTTTTTTCGATGTGCGTCTAGCCTCCGAGTTGCCGGGTTCGTCGACGTAGTTGCAGTTCCCATCATTGCAACTTATTTTGCGGACAATTACTGAGGTTTCGGTTCGGTCAGTGTGTCCTTAGGATGGCATCGTACAACCATGAATTACTGCCTGGGGTCGGCAGTTGATGTCCACTCTGGCGGGTTACAACAGTTGAAATATTGCCTCGGAGACTCCCTCATGCCCCACCCTCCTAAAATTAATTCCCATGTCCAACACCGGCCCTCTTATTCCCCATAATCCTAGCCCTCACATCAATCCCACCGCCCTAGAATATGGTAATTTTGCTTTGATACATACCATAAAAATGCGAAATACACGCAGTCGAGAACGGCTTGTCTTGGGACGATTACGAGTCTCTGACATCTCGGATTTGGGTCGAATGCTGGTGGCCACCTGAGCTACCGTCAGCCTGGCTGCGGAATCACTCATTGGCGCCTTATTTCCGACTCGCCAGACAATGGTAGCACGGTTTGGTATGTATTCGCAGTATGTCTCAAAAGTGTAGGTTATGGAATTGTAAATAGGCAACGTAGTGCAATACAGAGTTTTCTGGTTTTTCCGGGTCAATGCTCTGACGGTACTTGCGAAGTCTAGCGTGGCGATCTTGGAGGAACACTAGGACCATCCTGCTGTCATGCTGGAATACTGCTCGTCTCGCCAAATCCGTGTTCGCCGGTAACACATTATTGTTGAGACACCTGTGCAGGAACCGAATCTGCAAATGCGTGAAGGCCTCTCAAGGGGCGAAGTTTTCCCACCGCCAGGCCGAGTGGAACTCATTGCGGCAAAATATACTGCCAATAGAAGGTAAGAGACGAGTCCCAGGAAGCAGTCTTGAGGAAGGAGACAAGATCGCTGGGTCAAAGCTTTATTGCCCGACGTTTCGGATTTCTGATCGAATAAATCATCAGAGACAAAAGTGCAGCGTATCCGGCCCGGGCCGTCAGAACATCATGCCATAAACGCGTTTGCAGAACCTAGTCAACGCACCTGTAACCTGCCAACAAATTCGTCAGTGGACATAGAGAGACCCTCTCCTAAATCGGGAAAAAAGAGCCTTACAATCTGGCTGGCCGTCCTCTACCTCCTCTGATTTTCAACCATTCTTCAGCCGTCAGAACGAGTTAAGTCTACAATACGGATGCATACTATGGGGCAATCGTGTTATTGCGCCACCTCAGGGCTGACGGGCCATCCTAAGAGACCTGCATAATGTTCATCCTGGTACAGTTAGAATGAAGGCTCTCGCCCGCAGTTATGTTTGGTGGCCCAAAATTGACGCAGATATAGAAAACGTGGTAAAAACATGTCACGTGTGCCAAATAACACAGAAGACCTTGCCGAAGATTCCTCTGAAGCCTTGGGCCTGGCCCGACTCGCCGTGGAAAAGGGTACATGTCGATTATTTTGGGCCATTCCAAGGCCATATGGTTTTGGTGGTAGTTGACGCCTACACTAAATGGATTGATGTGATTCCGACAGGAAATTCTTGTTCTTCACTGACTACAATCAACAATTTGAGAACCGTTTTCTCTACTTTTGGGATACCTGAAATGCTCGTTTCAGACAATGGTCCGGCCTTTACTAGTGCAGAATTTAAAGATTTCATGGAGAAAAATGGAATTAGACATTTAACTACTGCCCCGTAGCACGCTGATTCTAATGGCCTCGCAGAGCGTGCAGTCCGGACAATAAAGCACGGACTAGCCAGACAGACAGAAGCGGACTTGGCCACCAAGTTGTTACGCTTTTTTTCAGCTATCGCATAACACCGAAAGACTCAACCGGTGCTTCGCCCGCAGAATTGATGTTCTAGCAGCAGTTGCGCACACGGCTCAACCTGCTTAATCCATCAATGCAGGATAGATTCATTGCAAAACAGACGAAGATGAAAGAACGATATGATGTGAACACCCGACCGCGAGTCGTCGCGCCTAACGAAAGTGTCTACACGCGACTGGAACACGAAACGAACTGGCGTCCAGCGGTAGTTCGAACAAGCGAGAGGCAAATAGTGGAATTAGAGTTAGGAGATGGGAGAATTGTGCGTCGACATCTGGACCAAGTTCGCAGCCGAACAGATACAGTAAGTGGAGAATTCGGAAAGTTCGAACTGCCAGCAACCCTTGATAGGGATCCTGACATCCCGAGGACTGAACCCCTACTGCCTGCACAGAGCACTACGCCACCGACCGAGGCGTATGTGCCACCTCCTTCTATCCCCGCCAGCGCTAGCTCAGGGGCAGAGGGGCCAGTGACTGCACAAAGCGGCGCTGAGGTAGAAAATACCGCCCTGAGAAGATCGACACGAATCCGCAAACCTGTCCAACGCTTTCAGGACGAATCTTACTAGAACATTGTCTAATTATCCATTATTACCTTTACTGTTACCCCTCCTCCCCTCCTCCTCATGCTCTGCACTTTAGGGTGGAGGGATGCAGTGTATCCGGCCCGGGCCGTCAGAACATCATGCCACAAACGCGTGACAAGCGAACGATCAAGGTCATGGCCCCCTGTTCACACCTTCTTTGTGCTGATTGGCCACCCATCAGCCTATGACAGTCCCCCTTGCCATATATCCGGCCGTTCCCACAAGCCTCCTCACTTGTGCTGTCTATCGTACTCAGTACACGTCTTATTTCAAATTAACCTTCTGTTCTGCATACATAACAAAAAGCACTCGTATCTGCTTTTGTCTCCGATGATGAGTTCGAGCAGGAATCCGAAAAGTCAGGCAATAAAGTTTTTGCCCCAAGCGATAGTGTCTCCTTCCTCATGACAGAGTTTTCATGATTTTTGAGTATGGCCGAGGAAAACAATGTACATACGACAGCGGACACTCTCCTACTCTGTAGTTCAGCGACGTAGGGTGTTCTAGACTAGCTGAAGAGGTAAGGCGGGTTCGAATCCGTCGCATTATGCAGCTTTTCTGGTTTTGGGGGCCTCGTATTTTCGTAGTTTTCATGAGAAATAATTAGCCCCAAACTGACGGTTTCATTTGATGAGTCGGTCTCTGCCTATGTGTCATGCTATCCCGCATGATCTTAGGTACCTGGTCAAACTGTATCCCCAAAAGCCTCCAAAATCTCCAAAGCATCAAAAGGAATACTCATTATGGATGTCTATTAGATGCGGTAAACTGTTTGAGTATGCACACACTGCCGATGGGGCAGGCTCATTTTATACGCGGAGGTGGTCAGTCAGTGTGCAAATTTCCCATTCCGGAGTCTACTGATCAAGGGGCTGCTTGGACCTCGGCCATCGAAATGTTTCTTATTTTAAGTGCCTACTAAAATTAACAAGTAGACGTTTTGTAGATGAAATAATTAAAAGGTTGCCATTGGTGCTGCGTAGAGAAATGGGTTCTAAACGAGTAAATTCTACCAGCAGCTGCCCTCGGGTTGATTGCGAAGTGACCAACATACATGATCTCCGAGTCAGGTCGAAATATTTAGACTTGCAAGGATTAATTAATGGTTAAGTACAAGGGATATTTCGGCTACGATGGATTGTCAAGTTTTTGTGTAGATAAGCCTACTTCTTTCAAATTACAATCTCCCTACAAATGCAGATGAGCTAAGGCTACCACGTACGAAAATTCGTTTGTTACCTGGTACCGATGAGTGCGACTTTAAATATTCTCAGGTTAGCAAACGTAAGAGATCGAAGTCGGTAATCTGAGAAAAGGGAAGTGTTCACCGGATGGAAGAAATTGTTTGGCTAACGTTTAGAAAAGCACTGACGAATCTCCATTATCAAAGCGTCGAGTGCAAAAATCGATTAGAATTTTGAATACGCAGCCGAATTAGTTGGTCATGGGCCGATCGATTTTTTTTATTCTTTCGCTGCCTTGGCCTACTGGTCGTCGTTTGTGAGTGTTGGTGGCCTCCTGTGTTATGTGTCGTCACCTCAATTGGGGTTAGTTGCGTTTGTGTCTCCCTTTTGGGTGAATTGGTCGTCAGGTTGTGTTTACTGGACATTACTGAGCTTCATACGACTTCCTTGTCCTCGTCATGGCGTATGTAGTGACGTAGGACTTTATGGGCCGCAGGAAGGTTTAGATGCCTGTTGATGGAGTCGACATCCGAGTACAAAGCCTTGAGGCGCCCCGGTCTAAGACGGCTACTCCTTGAAAGTCAAAACTATGGCCAGTTTCTTCGATGTGGATCGCAAGCTGTGAGTTTGGGTCTAATCTCCGAGTTGCCATTTTGTGCCATTTTATGCAACCCAAAGACGTACTGCCACCAACTTAAACCTCAGCAGTTGTCTATCAAATACGTTGTAACGGTGGTGACAGCAAATACGTTGGAGAAACCGGACGGAAATTTCAGACCCGCCCACATGAGCACAAACTGGCAACTCAGAGGCTAGACCCAAACTCACAGCTTGCAATCCACATCGCTGAAAGTGGCCATAGTTTTGACTTTCAAGGAGTAGCCGTCTTAGGCCGGGACGCCTCAAGGGCAGAACGTCTCACACTTGAGGCATGGTACTCGGATGCCGACTCCATCAACAGGCATCTAGACATTCCTGCTGTCCATAAAGTCCTACGTCCCTGCGCAGCTCTTCTGCTGCTCGCTAAGGAAACCTGCATTCAGTAAGTGACAGTTAATTGCTGCATTTGCCGACATTTGGCCGTGCTTGATGGCCGGCATGCAAGTTGTTAATTGCTGAAATGTCATCACCCGTGTTGGATGCTGGCGTGATGACTGCTCAGTCATCTGGCTCATCGGCTTGCGCGCTCCCCAAGTGGTCGATTGCTTTGGCCAGCCTATGCCTCAGCACGGAATATGGAGTGGGGATATCGTTTCACTTGTTGGTAGACTGAGGTCCCATGAACCACGATTCAAACAACTCGCGGCTCGCGATTATCCCCTCTCGCGAGAATTTCGGCTTCATCGAACTTGAATGCGTGGCCGGGTCTCGTCGAATGGGCCGCGACCTGAGAATTGGTGTCATTTCTCCGTACCGCTGTCGCGTGTTCGACAATTCGCGTTCGGAGCATTTTGCCAGTGTCTCCGACGTAGTTGCTTTGCCCGCAACTGCATCAGATCCGGTAAATAACTCCAGATGTTTCTAGCCACGGCAGTGGGTCTTCTGGTTTCAACACCTGACGCCTTATGGTGGCCTCCGGTCTGTGCGCAACTCCAACCCCAAGTTGTGCGAGAAGGCGACTAACGGCATCAGAGACGTTCTTGATGTACGGGATCGCTCGCCAGAATTTGGGGTTGGTGCGATTTTTTCGCTCGTCTTGTTTGCGCATACACCGGTTGACGAAGTTGCGCGGATAGACATTGGCTCTGAATACCCGTCCGAGGTATTGTAGTTCGGCAATCTTGCCTTCCGGTTCTCTACAGTGCGTTTTGACACGCCGATAGTGAGTCCTTACGCAATTGCGTTTGTGACTGATTGGGTGGTTTCTGTTGAAGTTCAGTACTGGCACCGTTGCAGGACCGCCTCGGCGATGAATCCCGAAATCGTCGAACCCACTGGTGTGCCCTTCACCTGTGCGTAAATTGTCCCATCGAACATGAAGTGCGTCCTGAGACAGAACTTCAGGAGCTGAAGTACTTGGGCGTGTCCAAGACGATTCTCCGTGTCATCGTTTTTGCTTTTTAGAAGCAGATCGATTGTCTCAACCGTCAGATCCTGGGGACGTGACATCAAAAGATACCATGAGCTCATTTGGATGGAGACTTAACCCTTTGATTTCCTCCATTAATTGTGCTGACGAAGAAACCGTGGTGTCTAACGCGACAGACGAGGTTATCAAGGAATATAACGGTCACATAAAAACCACCCGAACCCACACTACTACAGCTAACAGAAGCCTTCATCAGTCGCTGCTAATTGCGCCTCTTAATGGAACATGATGTAGATGCGTCGAACAAGAGTGTGCCACAGCACCGCCTTTCAGGCGTGCGAACGGAATATGGGGTGGCGGTGGCGCGCCTGCACGTTGACTGAACACCACCCCAGCCAATGCATCCAATCCCGAAACCAGGTGACTGATGTCGGAAGACCAGCGATCCGAAATCGGTGAACCCATTGGCGTGCCCTTCACCTGCTAGTACATTGTTCCGTCAAATGGGAAGCATGTCTGGAGACAGAACAGCAGCGGTATGGTGAAGGAGCCCAGTTAAATGTCGGTGGACTGTGGATCGTGTCATGAGGGAATAGAGGAAATGGCAGATTAGACTGACAAAATGCAGGAAAACACAGAAATTGTTTGGATTTCTGTCGAAAGTCTTATCGTATGCATCCACATGGCGACTGAAAGGAACGCGGTATTAAAAAAAAACAAACAAAATCAGAATTTAGAAACATGACCGAGTTTAAATTATAGTTTGAGATCATGGGAGGTAGCCGCTGTTGACAGCTTAATGTCTGCAACTGCCTGCAAATGGATGCCAAGGTGGAACCCCATATGACACCACCCAGAGTCGTCCGAGAGTTACATGGTGTCTCTCATCCCATCGTTGTCGACAGAACTTCGGGAGTTGGAGGATATGCATGAGTCCGAGGCGATTCTCTGCTTCATCACAGCTCATGCCTCACGCGGTTGTCACCCCTTGCGAGGATTTCAGCCTCTTGGAATTTGTAAATATGGCCGGGTCCCGTCGAATGTGCCGCCACCTGAGAGCTAGCGTCTCCCCGCCTCACTGCTGCTGCGTGCTCGGCAATTCGCGTACGGAGTAATCTCCCAGTTTCTCCGACGTAGTTGCTTTGTTCGCAACTGTACCACATCCGGTAAACGATTCCAGACGTTTCCTGCCGTGGCAGTGGGTCTTTCGGCCTCATGAGTTGGCGCCTAAT